AGCCCGGGCTGCGCCGGGGACCCGGCCGGGCCACCGTGACCCTGGGCCGCCGGGCTGTGCCCTGCTGGGGTCTGCGCCCCAGTGCCTGGCCCTCTCTGGGTCGCCGTGGGCCCCGTTGGGCCGCTTGTCTCTGGGTCAGCCTCTTAGTCCCTCTGTATCTGGGTCCACGGGTCTCTCTGCCTTGGTGTCTCCGTTCCTTTTCCTTGTCGCTGCCTCAGGGTCTCCCCCATCTCGGTTCCAGGCTGAATGGAGGCAGATTCAAGGCCTCGGTCTCCGTCCTGATGGCCCCGTCTTCCCTTCTTGCCTTCGGAGCCCATCCCATCCCAGGCCCTGTCCTGAATCCTGGTTAGCCTCCCCACACTCTGCACCCCCACTGAGGACGTGACGGTTCCCTCCTCACCCCCATTTCCATTGCCATTCCACGCCCAGGGCTTCTCTTGGCCTCCTTCCCCTGCTCTTGCAATAACCAACCCAGGCAGGGCATTTACTCAACCCTGAGCCCCGTCACAGTCAGACATCTCTGCAAGCCTGAAAGGGACCAGGGAGGTTTGATTGCTTTCATTTTACACGTAGGGAAACTGAGGCTGGAGGAGGTGAAGACTTGCCTAAGGACATGCGGTCAGGGAGCAGCAGATGCGGGACCAGAGCCCTGGTGTTCTGACTCCAGAAAGTCGTTTCCCACTCTTTCTTCAACTGTGCCTTTCTCTGTCCTAGCCAGACTGGTTGCCTCAGTATCCCACAAATATTTCTTGTTCTAAAGCCAGGGATTCAATCTGCAGGCGAGGGTGGGGAGAGGAGTACAGATTAAATGACCTATTTAAGGTCCCTTCCAAGACCAAGATGCTGTGGTTCTTTATTCCCTGTGTTTCCAGTGTTCCCATGACTTAGAGCCATTTTGTCTCTGTACCCAGTAGGTGCCTTACCCATCTGTTGCTAGTTAACCCTTAAAAATGACCTGTGATTTGCAGATCTAATGGGATCTGGCATTTATTCATTCATTGCCATGCCCATCAGCAGCATTTGACTTAGCCAGTCACTCCCAGTTGCTTCTCTTAGTGATGCTATCGGGTCATCAAGTCTTTAAGTGACATCTTTATACTGAAGATGTCTATACCTCCAGGCTGGACCATCTCCCCTGAACCCCAGACTTATCCAGCTACCTGCTCAACATTTTCACTGGCTGTCTAATAGGCATCTCATATTTAACATGTCCACGATTGAGCTCTGATCTTCCAAAACTTTGGAGTCATCCTTGACTCTTCACTTTCACATCCTTCATGTTCTATCTTCCCACTACCTTGATCCAAGCACCTCTTACCTGGATTGTTGCAGTAAACTCCTCATGGGTGTCCTTGTTTCTGTCCTTGTCATCTTCAGTCTTTTCTCAATACAGCATCAAAAGTGATTCTGTTAGCCTGGCCGGGCATGGCTCAGCAGTTGAGCATTGACCTAGGATCCAGAAGTCACGGTTTGATTCCCAATCAGGGCACATGCCCTGGTTTTGGGCTAGATCTCTAGTCGGCGTGCAGGAGGCAGTCAATCAGTGACTCTCTCATCATTGATGTTCTATCTCTCTCTCTGCCTCTCCCTTCCTCTCTCTGAAATCAATAAAGACATATATATATATTTTTAAAGTGATTCTGTTAAAATGTAAATGAGATTGTGTCACTTCTCTGCTAAAAACCTACCAGGGCCTCCTAGTTCAGAGCAAAAGCCAAAGTGTAACCTGGAGGCCTCTTTTACCTCTCTGATCTCACCTCCCACACCATCCCCTTTGCTCACCACCTCTCCAGCCACACTAGCCTCGTGGCTGTAACTTGATCATGACCAGCCTTCTCCCTCCTGCCTCTAGACCTTTGCCCAGCTAGGATAAGTCTGAAGCTCTGTCCCCACCCCCATCCCTCCCGTCCCCACAACTTCCCCCACTCTTCTTATCTCACTTCTTTCTAACATGCTCTTAGCCATTTTACTTATTTTGTTTATAGTCTGTCCCCACAACCAGAATGTGGAATTTTTGTCTGTTAGGTTCACTGCTGAATTCTAAGCAGCTAGACCAGTATCTGGCACTGTGTAGGTGCAATGGCCAGGATAAAAGATACAAATCACTACCCACAGGAACAATAGTGTCCTAAGTGGCGTGGGGTAGCTGGAAGGATGGGAACAAGAGAAGGAGGGTGTGGTGGGGGTGTTGAGGAAGAATTCTTCACAGAACTGTTGATTGTTGTAGATGTTTGACCTGGGTCTTGACAATTTAAGGAGAGTAGGCCTCTGCAGAGGCCCTGTGGTGTAAGAGCACGGTATGTATTCCGGAAATGGCAGAGCCAATAATTAACTGCACAGATATTCATGGGCCACCTATTGTGGGTCAGGCCTGCTCTGGGCACTGGAAACACAGTGGTGAACATGGTTCTTTACCTGCATGGCACTTGGTGTAGTGAGGGAAACAGACAAGTAGAAAGGGAACTATAATACTGTATGATACAGACTGTGATGGGGCACAGGGAGGAAAGGCAGGGAAAGCTTCAGAGAAAACAAATACCTGAACCCAGTGTAAGCAAAGTGTAAGAAGTGTGGCTGGACAGGAAAGAGGTCAGGGCTGGGAGAGGAAGCCAAAGAGGGAAACTGGGACCAGATGGGGAAGGCCTTGTATATTGCTGAGAAAGCAGTTGATGATTTGGCTCTCAAATGAATGAATAAATGAATGAACAAGGTGTCACCATATAAAGAATGTTGCTGATTCCACAAGCCACACACAAAAATCCAGTTCATTTCTGTCTTTGTATCTCAGCATACAGGGGTGGAGTAGGACAGCAGTGTGACAGGCTCAGGCCAGCCAAATCCAGTGTAAGGAACAAGAGCCAGGGTTTCTTGTCCTGCCTCTGTAAACAATTTGCTATGTGACTTTGGGCAACTTCTTTCCTCTTCCTGGACCTCAGCTTGGTGAGTGAGAAAAACCAGAGGGCTGGGTGTGATGCACATTCCTAACCAGGGGTTCCAAAGAATTCACACCATTAAAAGTGGATATGGTAAAGATAAATTAAAAAAAAAAAAAAGTTGATATGGCACTTGCCTTAATATCTTGCTTTTTAAATCAATTCATAACATAGTCTACTATTTTCCCTCTTCAAATGGTACCATGGAACGCCTCCAAATGTGTATGGGGTGTTCCCATGTAGAGGTCCATGTGGGGG